TGAGGCGGGGTGGAGCAGCTGAGGGAGCAGGCGCCCACTGAGCAGGGAGTCCAATGCGGGGCTCGATTCCAGGACCCTGAGATCACGACCTGAGCTGAAGGCAGACACTTAACTGACTGAGCCACCCAGGCGCCCCTCCATGAATAATTCTTGGCTAAATTTGCCCACCACAGATCCCTCCTTCCTCTGACCTGTATTATTTATAAATTATTCATTCTTGTCTTATATCTCTTGTCACATTCTATTTTGTATTACAGCTAACTGTATTTATGTCTTATTTTCCTTCCTAGATTATACTGTCTCATGGTCAGGGACCATATTCTCTTCATCTTTGCTAAAATACCATATGCTGCAATGCTTTGCCCATTATAGATGTTCTATTAATATTTATTGAATAAATGATTGAAGAGCATATTAGGTCTCTCAAAGGGAAAAAAACTCTCTCTCTCTAATGCCAGATTTATAATTTATTTTTTAACATAAGGAAATATTTCCTTTAAAGTCCTGAAAGATTCAGGAATCTTCACATGCCCATGTCTTTTTTCCCTTTCTTTAGAAATAATATTTTTTGGCTCACTCTTAGTCTAATTACTTTAATAATTACTGCTTTTATTATATTCAGAGGAGGAAGGCAGCAGTATAATTAAAACATACATGAAAGCATATATTTATTTGGTCTTCAATTAATATTGGTGAATTTATATAGCATAGATATATTTGGGTGGCTTCTCCTCTTCCTCCTTCTTCCCCTCCTCTTCTTCTTTCTCTTCATTATTATTATCACTTTAATGAATTTGCTGAAGCAATAACTCCACATTAATTATTTAAAAAAAAAACCCCACGTTACAGCCAGAGAGACACAAGATGAGGCAAAATCTTAACTGATCAGCACCATCTTTAGTCTTATTGCCAAAGACATGAATATATAAAATTTGATGAAATATAATTAGTATGATTAAGCTTTGGTCATAGACTTTTCTCATTGAACAGATGAGGACTCTGAGTTCCAAGGTTATGTGACCTTTCCTGAAGCTCATGGGTATCTCCTCCCAGGGCAGAGCCTGGAGTCCAGTTCCCAGACTTCTCTTAGGGATTGAATTTAGGGATTGAAATGAGTGACCCAAGAGGGTGAAATATATGAAGACAGAATTTCAGAAAGTAATGTCTTTGGGATGGAACATAATTTACATTTCAGAGGGCATACATGATTTTGTGTTTGACCAAGGTATGTTAATTCCTGTTCCTTTACCCATTTTAGGTAGGACACATCATGGTTTCCAGCACGAGTTCCCTTCACAGTGTCTGTGGCCAACTACTCGAATGCTTATTGAATGAATGCTTTGACCATGAGATATATCTGTGGCTAAACATGCTGCATATATTTTGGAAATAACTTAGCTATAATTTTAGTATGGCTATTTTTTTTAATTTGAAAAAAAAATCTGAATTCTTCAAATTGAAAACAAATTTAAAAATGCAAACCAGTAATGCTTGACTAAAATAGCTAGATAAACCCCTCCTGGGCACTGTGCTGGCGCTGTCATGACTACTAAAGAAAAGTGTGTTTTCTTGTTTTTGATTCATCAGTACATGAGAAGCCAGTTAATTCCCTATCTTTTTGGCTTTCTACCTTTCACTCTTGGATTCCAAAAGCAAGAATAAGCTGGTTTTGGAATTAATTCTTTTATTTGTAATTCAAGGGAACTTAAGGAGCCTGAGATACGTATCTCCAAAGAAAAAGTCCTGCCTCAAATCTACCTAGTTTCTGGCCTAGCACTAAGGGGCAACTTGTAACTGGATTCCCCTTTTCTTGCCCTCTCCCCTGCCTTCCTTTGTTAGTCAGTTTTAAAAAACTGAGACTCCTGTCATGTGACTCTTGGGCTGGGTTCTCTGCTTTCTTTCCACTCCTCTCCCTTGTACCTCCTCCCTCTCCCCCAATTTCTGATTTGTTTAACCACAATTTAGTTTTATCTGACTTTCAAATTGGTGTAAATGGAGTCATACAGTGTCTGGCTTTTCCACTTATAATATTTAAAAAAATTAGTATATAACTGACATATAACCTTTTATTAGTTTAGATGTACAACATAATGATTTGGTATGTGTATATATTGTGAAATGATTACTGCAGTTAAGTCTGGATAACGGCCATCACCACACATCATTATTGCATGAGAACTTTTAAGATCTACTCTCTTGGCAGCGTTCAAACATGCAGTACAGTATTGTTAACTATAATCGCCATGCTGGGCATTGATTGTATCCTCAGGACATATTTTCTTCTAACTTGAGTTGGTACCTTTTGACCACCTTTATCTATTGCACTCATGCCCCATCTCCCACCTCTGGGAACCCAGCACTCTGTTCTTCGTATCTCTGAGCTCAGTTTGTTTTAGATTCCACAAATAAGTGAGATCTTACGGTAGTTGTCTTTCTTTTACTTATTTCAGTTAGCACAGGGTTGTTAAGGTCCATCCATATTGTGGCAAATGACAGCATTTCATTCTTTTTTATCGCTGAACAGTATTCCATTGTCTGTGTCTTTGAGACTCAGCCTTTTTGCCGTATCAGTAGCTCATCGTGTTTTTTACTGAGTAGTCCTCCATTGTTTGAAAAATGCCACATTTTATTTATCCTTTCTCCTGTTACATGGTAAGCATTTTTGTCTAAATCTAATTTCTGGCTCTATTTTATGTCCCTATCATTGTTTTCCCTTTTGTCTCCTCTGCTCATTGTCCTTAAATGAATGTGTCAGTCCGTTTTAGTGGATTTTCCTGGGGTATGGTAACCTCTGCATACACAGTTCTTCAGCTGAGCAAAGCTTTATTTTCTATTATCTTTGATCATTGCTTGTATCCCACTAATTTTCTCTTCCTTTTCAGTACACCTGTTGTCCGTCAATTGATAGGCCCTTCTCTGGTCCTCCCAGGACTACTTGCTTTTTCCTAATTTTTATTTCTTCATACATTTCCTCTATATTGAGGGATGGCTGTTCCTTTTTTTCTTTTTTTTTTTTTTATGCTCTGCATCACTCATTACCTGCAGCATCAACTGTGCTTTTATTGCTGCCAAAATGGAGTTTAATTTTGTATTTGTGTTTTCATTTTTAGTGAAATCCTTCTTTTTATAATTCTTTATATTTGTATATTATTATTTATGTCATTTGTATTATGTTTTCAGCTGTTCATTTTAATTCTGTTGTCCTTACCTAGAGGAAATGTTTACTTACACTTTCTTGAATATGCCAAGCCATTTCCTGAAAGTTGATTTTGCATCCTACCGTAGAAGATATTCAGAAAGATGCTGAGAAAATAATTTCCCCTTATAACATGATTTTTAATCGGTCCCATGTTGTTTTTCTTTTCCTTCCTTCCTTACTATCCCCAGACAAGGGGGCTCTGTGCAGAACCAGGTGGGTTGAGTGGATGGTCATTTTGTTCTATTTTTTTTAAATTCTTGATCCTTTTTCTCAGTCTTTAGCCGGAGGGCTACACTGCCGTTGTTGGTCTTAGGTCCAGCACATGGCGACTCTGCCTACTTGGGTTCTACGGCCCTTGCCTCTCTCTCCTACCCCTTTGCTATTTCTACAATGTCAGGCAGTGTAATCCCCCCATCCAAAGCCACTGTTCTTGCTCTTTCTTTCTTCAGGAAGTGCTTCTTCGAAAGCCCTCTGCTATCATCTGCCCGCTTGACTCTCCGCCTATTTGTTTTCTGAGCTTTGTCACATTTCTGTGGTCATGAGAGGACAGAGGTAGCAGGGACAGTGAATGGGAGTCCTGGGGAGACAGGTTTCTGCTTAGTCTAACAAGGGCTCCTCAGCGGTACACACTTCTGTGTGGGGTTTTGGTCTCTGAGTCAATGGACAAACAGTGGCAGCCGCAGCAAGTATCCTAACTGTGTTCACAAGGCTGTTAGCTTGAAGTGAGGTAGAGTGAGCTGAGTCCTCAGAGAAAACCTTGGGGACGTGTCTGCTTCTGCCTCAGCACCAGCTGCTTTGTGAAGACCGACAATTCATTGTAGATTTGGGAGTAGGTTGTTTTTCAGTCTTAGTTTTGAATGAAATTCAGACTTTTGTTTTGTTTTGTTTTGCTGTTTTGCTTTTGATCCTTTTCAGCACCTTTGCTGATATTTAATAATAAGTTGTGAGAACATTCCTCGGAGCTACTAGCCAAGTGCCTTTCTGAGAAAGACTCTTGACCTTACATTTTAAATGGTGACTTTAATGCCTGGGGTCACATGTTACAGACACCAACTGATTCATGTTCAAATAGTTAAAATCAAGTGAACAACTCATTATTTAGAGAAAAAAACACCTTATAAGTCTGTTGTTTTACAAATTATGAACTAGTTATTTCAGTACAACATAGACATTTTTTGGGACTGTGTCATCGGATGGGAGTCGGGAGGTATGCATTCTGGCCAGCTGGAAATATGTGGGCTGACACTCGGCATATCCAGAACTCATCTGTCTTTGTTGACCCCTAACACCCACACAACACTCATGCACTAACCTTCATATCCGAGATATATATATCTGGTATATAGCTCTGTTTTTGCTCAATATTCTCTTCTTGTGTATATAGCATGTGGAACATGATACTGAATCATTGTTACTAAGACTTTCCTTTGGCCTAATTCTAAAAAAATTGAGTTATTGGTTAAAGGCAGATTTTGTGGTGGGCAAGATGATGAATTCTCTTGAAGGCTTTCTTGGAGGATGCGAGATTGTCAGCTCTTAACTTGTTCAAAGATGTCAACTATTCTAATGTAAACAAAAGCCATAGACATGACATTTTAGCTCATGTCTCCTGCCACTAGAGTTTGAGGGTGATATTTTAAATTGTAATATTTAGTAATGGGTTCTTTCTTAGTTTTTTTTTTTTTTATATTGAATTTAGTTAAGGATACAATAGTGAAATGAATTAAAGATCATTGGTCTTGTTAATTTGTTTTTTCATAAAGATTCAAAACTGTTTTTTTATTTTTTATTATTTTTTTAGCTTAATCCTGATTATCGAGATGCTCAAAATGAAGGAAAAAATATGGTGAGTGAAATTGTTTTTTTCCCCAAAAAATTCCAAATATATTGTTTATATTTTATATGAACAAATTGAGAAGTTAATAGAAAATTGAAGACGAGGGATTCTGAGAGATTCTCTGACTAGAGGCTATGGATCACAGATAAAAAGTAAAAGATGACATGGCTTACATTATAAAAAGATGTTCAGTAATGGGTATTTAGGGAGATTTGTAGCAACTTGGAGGCCATTTATGATAAAACACTGAAGGCAGTGGGCATCTGGGAGATATGATGGGTCTAGGTTTAGTTTTCAGAAGTACATAGATGTTTAGGAGGGAGAAATTGAATTATGGCATGATATTAAAAGAGGACAATGGGACAGTCCTTTCTGATTGAAAATAACTTGAGTTCTATTTATGGGGAGAAATTGAGGCATCAAACAACTGTATGACTGATTTTTCTGATATTCTAAAGCATGCTACTCAGAAAATCTCAATCTTACTTTAAAGCCAACTTTCATCAAGATATTTATTATTATGCAGTCTGCTCTTTCATCATCATTTGTAAAGAAGATGACTGTATTATAACAACATGACTTAATTCAATAGGAAATTCTGAAGTGGAGGATATTTGATGTGTCACAGACAAAACCTGGTTGATGGGATAGATTTATGTACCTATCTCTATGTCTTTATATAGTTTAGCAATCTAGCTAGACATTTTTTTTTTTAAAGATTTTATGTATTTATTTGAGAGAGAGACAGTGAGAGAGAGCATGAGCAAGGAGAAGGTCAGAGAGAGAAGCGGACTCCCTGTGGAGCTGGGAGCCCGATGCGGGACTTGATCCCGGGACTCCAGGATCATGACCTGAGCCGAAGGCAGTCGTCCAACCAACTGAGCCACCCAGGCGTCCCATAGCTAGACATTTTAATGTTAAATAGACACAGTCTATAATTTAATTTTCTTAGGAGTTTAGCAGTCTCTTTCAGAATTGCTAAGGATTATTACTGCATCATTCAAAATTCTACCCTTTGACAGAGAGGGTTGTAATATTTAATTGAAATAATTTCTGTCTTTGCATTGGCTCTCAGCTTTATGTTTTATGAGGATATTGATATGGGGAGGTGAATCAAATCAGAATTTCTGGTCCTGAGTCAGTCCTGTTTGACTTCTTTCTCCATCTGACTATCAGATTTACAATAGAAATAAAGCTGAAGTAACAAGTCATAGGCTTAATGAAAACTTTAATTTGTGTTAAAATGTCCCTAAACACAGAAGTAGGCTTCTTAGATTGGTTGGATCACTCATTTCTAATTCAGTTTTATGCCCTGTGTGGACTCTTCTCTCCTCGGTTTTCAAATAGCTAGCCCAGGATTGTTGAGTTCTCATTTTCCTGTGATTTAGAAAAATGCCATCCATAATCACATTGAAAAGCTGAGTCTTTGGTTCTTGCTATAAGCTGGGCAATAGTCTCTAACCAAAGACCACCAGAAACACACCTGTTCTTGAACGAGTGGAGTTAATGACACGTTGCACTTACATCCCCTGGGAACTGTGGGGCCTCTCAGATGATGATAGAAAGAACCTGTGGATTTGGGGTTATACAAGATGACTTTGGGAGGATTTAAGGAAGGGGGCTTACTGTAGATAGGAATGCTGTCAGGAAGAGACATTTTCTCTATAGGAAGGGCAGGTGAGAGCCAGGCTAAGGTTGTAAATGCTATAGGAAGCAGCACCCATTAGGGGAGAGGGATCTTAAATAGTGTCTATGGCTTGGACAACATTCCCATTTTGTTAGTGTTCAGACACAATTGTGGAGTGGCCATGTCTGATGTTGACATTCTGTGAAATAGGTCATGTTCATAGGAGGACACTGTGGCCTATCCACAAATGTTGGGGTGCTCCTGGCCACATTGAGCCTGCCTGATCATACTGGGCCAAACTTCAGATGTCAGGGTTGCTTTTCTCTTGCTCAAGGGTCCTTGTTTATGATATTCTATGTGAGTTCAGTATTGTATGGAACCAGGGGAGTTCTACTTCTCACACCATCGTTGACTTGTGTCGCTTTGGACATATCAGATAGCCCTCCCGAGACTCCTTTTCCTACCCATATGTTGGGATGAGGAGGTTTGCTGTGTGTGTCACCTATATGCCATGAGGTTAACATTCCATCAGATAAAAGGAAACTCTTTGAATCCAAGATGTTAGTAGGTTAAAAATGTACTATTTTGAAAGGGCATCACCCCAAAGCTTCAAATTGAAAGGGCATCACCCCAAAGCTTCAAATCCTACAGTTGAATTCTATCTCTTTGCTTATCTCCTTTCAGCTACATACTGTTTGGTGAGGCTACTGATGATGGATCTGGGCAGAGCTGAGTGGGAGAGAAAGAGTAGGGAGGTTTAGGAAGCAGTACAGGGAATCTAAGTCATGAATCCATGAGGTTTGCTGTTTGCGTCGATCAAGCTTTTAGTTAGACTTTGTAGACGTGTTTCCTTTATGTTTTGAAGTACAAGTTCTTCCTTCACCTGTAAAGGTGACAAAGAGCACTTTTCTGTGAGAGAATTGTTACCAGCAACACTTTAATTGCATATAACACAGGTGGGTCTGCTTTGCCCTAGAAGTTTATGGCTGGATCTCATCTGCCATCCGAGAGAGGACCAACTGGAGACATTTGATTTCATTTTTTTTCTATCCTTAATCCCTAGCTTGAAAGTAAATAAAACTAAAAATATGGAACAGTAAAGCTAACAATATGGCTTCTCATTTTATAGACCATTTGCCACCTAGCAGTAATTATGTTTCTGTCTAAAAAAAGAAAACGAAGGAGCAGTTAGAGCTTAGCCTGTGAAAAATGAAATCAATTTCCCCAACCAGAATGCTATCTCACCTCAGATCTGGGTTCCAGTAACAACCGAGTTCACTGTGACCATGCTAATTATTTTTCTTTTTTTCTTTTAAAGATTTTTTTTTTTTATTCGTTTATTTGACAGAGAGAGATCACAAGCAGGCAGAGAGGCAAGCAGAGAGAGAGGAGGAAGCAGGCTCCCTGCTGAGCAGAGAGCCCGATGCGGGGCTCGATCCCAGGACCCTGAGATCATGACCCGAGTCGAAGGCAGCAGCTTAACCCACTGAGCCACCCAGGCGCCCCTAATTATTTTTCTTTCCAAATTTTCCCTCATGTTCTTTATTTAATATCCAGTTAATGTTTTTCCTGTAATTTAGAAACCTTTATCAAAATGTTGCCTTCCATTTTTGAAGTCTCAAAGGTTAATGCATGGTGCCACTGAAATGAGGCGGTGTGTGTCGGAGCTCCCATTAAGACCCAAATTGCTGTATTTATTCTACAAAGGAGCCTATTATTTCCAATCTTACAAATGTACAGCATCCACAGGGACCCTGTAAACATTGGAACTGTGTCAAGCCCAGCTGGGAACCTGACAGTCATTAGTTTCTTCTCCTTGAAAGGCTGCATCTTTTCAAATGGCTCTTTGAAGGGGATTTTTTTTTTTTTTTTGGACTAACACCACCCATTTGCACATTACCATATTGATGTGGAATGTGATCTGATTTTTCAAGGGAGTGTCTTTGTCTATGCTGGGGATTCTCAACCTTAGCCATATTGATAGATTGGCCTAGAGAATTCTTTGTTGTGGGGGTTTGTCCTTTGTACTGTCGGGTATCTGGCAGACCTATAGACTCTGCTCACTAGATGTCACTTATGGCCTTCCTGCCCCCCATTGGGGCAACTAAACATGCGTCTGGAAATTGCGAAAGCCCCCCCTCCTCACCGCCCCCCCCAAGGTCTGGGCTCTCTCCTCATTGATGACCACCAGTCTTTATGCATAGACGTACATAAATAGCAGTATTCTAGGAACCATGATACTTGGCTGACATGCATCGGAAAATTCTATTTTATAGGCTTTTTTGGGGGGGACCAGATTATCAACAATTTCCTTAAGTTTATACTCTGTACTCATGACTGGTAAGGTGATAAGGAAAAGAACGGAAAAAGGGTCATTAAGAATGAGTTTAAGAGTAACAGTGTCTTAAGGAACCTGGCAAGGGAAGATATGTCTGCACCTTTAAATGGCAGGGTTATGTCTGTTACATAAAGTCAGCAGTGAGAGCCCTGGAGGGTCTGACCAAAAACACAGATGCCTGCACATCATTATACTGCCTTGGCTGTGACCGCACGCAGTCTGCAGCAGCCCTGAAAATGCATACGTTCTTTCTTACAGAATGTCTCTGGCTCCTAACAACAGAATTGCAACGTGATGTCTCTGCTAAAAATTCGATGACTCACAAATGAGTCAACAGAGAAGGTGTTACAGGAGGCTAAGGACTATGCCGCCACTGGCAGGCTCCAGGCCAGGCAGGAGAAGGCAGGAGAGCCATTCGTATAACCCGAGAGGCTGTGTGCCTTTCCTTCCACGTGAAAATGCGAGTTTTATAAGAGCCCAGCAGACTAGGTTAACATTCTGAGGCTCTGCATTCCCGAAATTGAGGGTTTTGGATAGCTAGCTGATAGGAAATCTAACACTTGTTTAAGCTCTATTGTACTTTAAATGTATTTTCATGATGCAAGAAGGGAGGGCGTTTCACTTCGGTAATTCTGTGTGGGGAACTGGTGTTTTTGTGTCTTGTTTCTTATTTAAAAAATGTATGGGTTTACAAACAGAAGCCACAGGCATACCATTTTGAACAGAACTGCCTTTCTATTATAGAAATATGTTGATTTTTCTTTAGATTGAAGTTTGAGCCATACATTTAAAAATTGTATATTTATAACTCTTCATTCACATTTTATTGTTTACAAATTTTGAAGGGCTGTCTTGAAATTTACTGTGGAACTATTTCCAAAGGAGAGTTTGTGAAGCAAAATATCAGAGTGCGAGATTAAAAACAAAATGTATAGCACTGCTTTAAAAAACTGCAAAAGATCTTAGAAATTCTTTTTGCACGTAAATAATTGTTATACTATTTGTAAACGGAATTTATCTCTTCATTAAATCTTCTTTCTCCCC